CCCCATCCCAGGCCCCAAGAAGACTTTCCACATCAAGCAGATGTTCATCTGCACATCTGCTAATGTGGTATACTGCATCCGTTGTTCTCGTTGTGGCCTCCTCTACATCAGGGAAACCAAGCGGAGGCCAAGTGACCGCTTTGCAGAACACCTACGCTCGGTTCGCACTAAACAACGGCACCTCCCAGTCGCGAGCCATTTCAACTCCCCCTCCCATTCCACAGACGATATGTCCATCCTGGGCCTCCTGCAGTGCCACAACGATGCTACCCGAAGGTTGCAGGAACAGCAACTCATATTCCGCTTGGGAACCCTGCAGCCCAATGGTATCAATGTGGACTTCACAAGCTTCAAAATCTCCCCTCCTTCTACCGCATCCCAAAACCAGCCCAGCTCGTCACCGCCTCCCTAACCTGTCCTTCCTCCCACCTATCCCCTCCTCCCACCTCAAGCCCCACCCCCATCTCCTACCTACTAACCTCATCCCGCCCCCTTGACCTGTCCGTCCCCTCCCCACCTACACTCACCTTTACTGGCTCCATCCCCGCCTCTTTGACCTGTCTGTCTCCTCTCCATCTATCTTCTCCTCTACCCATCTTCTATCCGCCTCCCCCTCTCTCCCTATTTATTTCAGAACCCCCTTCACCTCCCCCATTTCTGAAGAAAGGTCTAGGCCCAAAACGTCAGCCTTCCTGCTCGGCCTGCTGTGTTCATCCAGCTCTACACCTTGTTATCTCAGATTCTCCAGCATCTGCAGTTCCTACTATCTCTAGTTACTGGTGCAGTCTGCCTCACCTCATGTTCTAGGGCAAGGATCTCATGGAATCTAAATGAGGATCGCTTGCTCACATGGATTGCAGACATGTGATTCCCAAAATCTCTTCACCACACCGAGAGGCTTTCTTGACTTTCCATCTGAGATTTTCCGAGGAACACGGCAATATAGGATCAGTCCCTTGCGCCTGTTATTGACTGCGGGTCTCCAGTCAAAAATCCAGTACCAGGCCTCCCAGTTATGTTCTCCGTTTCACCCTAGGTTTCCTTGACTGGCTAATGGTGGAGACTTAATTCGCCTTATTTCCTTCTCAAAATGGTAAGCATTGACGAGCAGAGAGTCCTAGTGTTTAGGTATTTTTGAGTCAATGTGTTCAGAAATGTTATTAAACACCTCTGGAATGGGTGGAATGTAAACCCAGGTCTTGTGTTAGTGCCTGTTCTGCATATTATAGTGAGGATTTGCTGTTAATCATCGACTCATCGACAGAGATTAATTATAATGATGAGTTAACACCCCCATAATCATGGATCATGTGATTACCAAGATGGGAGAAGGCAAATTAAGGGTACTGTGACATTCCTTTGTTTGCTAATGTCTGCGTTCGTATTAAATAATTTCCCAAACAGTATGCACATTTTTACTGAACCTACCAACAAACCTTACAGTCCGCCTGAGGAAGGAGTTGAAGTTGCAGCCTCCTGCGTTAATGCTGCCTTCAGAACCTTTATTCTTCAGCTTTGACTGGCAACAGTAGACAATGCCTTCTCCAATCATAATCTGGAAAGAGGTAAACCACACACACGGAGTGTACAATGAAAGATTAAAGCTGCAAAAGATCCAGATCTTCCAATCAATGTGGGAGATGGTGCACCCACTTCTGATTGCAATTTAAACACCCCAGCCCAGCCCACACATCAGCCCCCTCCCCAACCCCACTTGTCATTCACACTGGAGTTTTTGCAGCTCCCGGTCTGGATCCAGTGAAGAATAACAAGAATCTAAAGTCTGGGAGCTGATCAGAATTCCAGTGGAGCCACACGCTCTTTTTATTGTCACGAACTAAAGACATGCCTCTTAGCCTCCATCTTCAGTCACTGACCCACTCTTTGTAAATGGAGATATCAACACCTGAATCTGCACAAACTCTCTCTCCACCATCTAACTTACCGTCTCCCTCACTCTCTCCCCGCCCTCATCAATCACATCCCTCCCTCTTTACCCCCACCAAACCCACCGCTCTCTCTCCCCCTACCACCAATCATATCCCTCCCTCTCTCTCCCAACCAGTCTCATCCTTCCTTCTCCCCACTCCCAAATACATCCCTCCCTCTCTCCCCCCACCAATCACAACCCTCCCTCTGTCCACCCACCACCAATCACATTCCTCCCTCTCCCCCCCC